ATACTATTGTCATCACCAAACGTTGGAAGTGACTTGATAATTCATCGAACAACAATCAAGAGTGTCTCTTGTTCAGGTTGCACCCAAGTTATCTTGGTGCTTGAGACACAAATGGACAGTTCCTAAAGCCAGTTCCTAAAGCCAGCCAGTGGGACGTGGTGGTGCTGCGGGCTAAACCGCAGAAGCCTGTGCTGAAGGGTCAGAAGACCAAGCAGTTGTAAGATCGAATCCATGTGACGGAGTGAGCTCCTGTCACTTGTCCCAGCTCCCACCAACCTAGCAGTTCGAAAGCATACAAAAATGCGAGTAGATCAATAGGGACCACCTCAGTGGGAAGGTAACAGCGTTCTGTGTCTAAGTCGCACTGGCCATGTGACCACGGAAGATTGTCTTCGGACAAAACGCTGGCTCCATGGCTTGGAAACGGGGATGAGCACCGACCCCTAGAGTCAGACACGATTGGACAAAAATTGTCAAGGGGAACCTTTACTTTTACCTTAAAGCCAGCCAAGTTATTGGTATCCAAGCACCTCTCTACATCTGTGGTGCTAAAAATATAATAAAGAATGTCCAGGACTCCCCACTCTACCCCATGGTAGCGCCAGTTCTACTGCTCAATTCTCTAAGAGAACTATGCTTTCAAGCCATTGAGCTTTCTCAGCCTGAAAGGAGGCCCAGTGCCATCTTCTAACCTGATAGCTCTCTGTCACATCATCTAGGGATCTCCCAGTCTTCCCAGTTCCACCCTACAGGCTTGAGGTCGTCTGGAGAGGTCTGTTCATTTGTGTCATCTGGGCCAGGAAGCTCTGGTTTTAACTCAGAAGAGGACCTTCTAATGTAGGCTTAAGAATTCAGCAGCACCCTTCCCTGAACGGAGGTTTTCCTGTCTTGTTTTGTTCTTGTGTGCGCGCGACGGCAGGCATGGGATGAGGCCAACAAGAGAGCAATGGACCTTGTGGAAGCAGATGGCTGGGTCAGTGTCCACCCTTTCGACCATCCCTTAGTGTGGTAAGAACCATAGAGGTGAATCTACAGTTGGTTAGAGTGCGCCATGTTCAGTGTTACAGGAATTTGCTTGACTTCCTTTAAATGTGCAGCAGAAGCCCAGCTAATTAGAGTCAGAATTAGCTAGAAGGCTCCCTTTATTAAACTGCCCCTTCCCATAACCAGCACTTTGTAAAACTAACACCTAGGAGGCTATGTTTTGGTAGAAATAGGGAGAAAAATATTTTTTTTTCTGCAGGCTTCATAGAGGACCAGAAGTTATGAGGAAAAAAGAGGATTAAAAAAAGATAGCAAGATGGGACACCCATCTGTCAGATCTGCTTTGATTTGGATTCCTGCATTGGGCAGGGGATTGTATTTAATGGCCTTATAGGCCCCTTCCAACTTAATTATTCCATGATTATATGATACTCAGCCCCATGGGACCGGGAAATCTCCATGTTGCAACCGTCACAGGGTTTGCTTACATTATCAAGATGCATTGAAATACACGGGGATATGCAGTGGTGTCGTTTAGAGCGATTTACGATCGTGCGGCAGTCACATGGTATACGAATTGCTGTGTGCGTTCCCTTGAGGAAACTTTTATTCCAGTGTTCTTTTAAGTGCTGAACCAATGCCGGGGACTATACTTGCAATTCTGCATTATTCTTTTTCAGTCGGTTGCATTTCACGATACTCGTGGACTGCAGAGTTTTCTAAACCGAGTAGGAGGCATCGGCAGCAGTATTTTGAGCTGCTGCTCTTAGTCAGAGCATGTGATGGTTCCCTTCCACCATTCTGTGAGGCCATATCCCTGTAACTATAAATGTAGTAAAATTAAACTCCTTGCATAACAAGAATTAAATGAGCCCTTTTAAATTTAAATCCATACTGTGAATTAGGTTTGGGGTTTTTTTTTGGAGGGGGGAATATATTGGTTTATTTTTACACCTCCCACCTTTCTACCACAAATTGGGCTTAAGTTAGTTTATAAATAAATAATAGAAATCTAATCAAACTCTAAAAAAAAGTGTAGGGCTAAATCCAAATGAAGACACATGATATGCCAACATGTAAGTCCCATTAATTCGGTGGATTTTGGGACAGAAAGTGTAAGCCACAGTTCAGAAACTTGCCAATAATTATTTACACACCACTCATCTTTATTTATCCATTATTCATTTTGTTAACTAGCTGCTAGCAACTCATTGCTTGTAAGTAACTAGTTGCTTCCTGGGGTCTGTTTCTCCCCTCCCAGGAAAGGCCACAGCACCCTCGTTAAGGAGCTGAAGGATTCCCTGGACGCCAAGCCAGGAGCCATCGTGCTGGCAGTGGGAGGCGGCGGGCTGCTCTCCGGGGTGGTCTCTGGCTTGCAGGAGGTGGGCTGGCTGGACGTCCCCATCATCGCCGTGGAGACGAGAGGGGCCGACAGCTTCAACCAAGCCCTCCAGGCTGGACGACTGGTCACTTTGCCTGAGATCACCAGGTGGGACATTTGGGATGTAATCGTCCTCTTGGCTAGGAAGGAACTTGGGACCGAACCAGAACTTGGGATTATTCATGTTTTGGACTACAGCTCCCATAATGCCTCAGTCAGGACGAATCTTCTCTGATTTCCATCTAGAGCTGAGACTCCCTGCAATAACTGCAACTTAGAGGTCCCATTCTTTAGCGCAGGCCTACTTTAGTTAGGACTAACAACTGGATTTAGCTGTTTGCCTTTTATGACAGAACCTGCTCCACCTCTGAGGTGGGCAAGGGCAGCTGTCCGGGTCCCGCTGGGCTGTAGCTCCTAGCTTTACCTTTTTTGATGTGGGTTTGTGGGACTGAAGGGGTGCTGAGGATGCTCAGAAGGCCACTTGACCCGCAGAATGCAACGGTCTCCTCCCTGCTCTCTAGGGAAGGCACCAAGACTCCACCACAGCCCCATCACCACAAATCTGTCTAGGTCTAAGTTTCTGGGCGTGTGTCTTCCTGGGTACAGGTACCCACTCCTTTTGTTCTTTCCTGCCAACCTACAGTGTGGCAACCTGCTTGGGAGCCAAGACGGTGGCACAGAGAGCCTTGGATTGTGCCAGTGAGTGGCCCATCATCTCCCACGTGCTGGACGATGTGGAAGCCGTGAAGGCCATCGAACAATTCCTGGGTGAGTTTTCAGCTGGGTGTGAAGGAGACAGATCAAAAGGTGGAAACACGCTTGGTGAACAGGCATGGATGAGAGAAAAACCCAAAAAGGCTCTCTTTCATGTAATCCATCTTCTGTCGGCGATGGGCGAGCAAGCCTCTAAAACATGAACAATTCATATTTATGAAACAGGGGTGCACAAACATTTCCATGTTTCTTTTGCGTTCTCTCTTTTTGTGTAACCTTTGCCTGTCAAATCACCTTTTTCACAACAATTGTCTGTACCCAATCAGAACATTTGGAGGTAGGAATTTTGAAAAACCTGAAACTAGGGATGTGATTCATGAAAGCTTGTGTACTTTTTCATTTTGGGTCCTTTCGGGGTGTGCGGCTTTTGTTTTCGTATTTGGGGGGATGGCACTGAAATCATACTGTTGATTTCACTTTTCTCAGGTATGGTTGCCTACTTTTGGAGTAGACTGACTCTCTGTTGCCTTGCCTCTGCTTTGTTTTGAATAGTCTCAAAGAGTTCTTTAGAGCTTCTGGAGTGCTGAAAACACATGGATGAGGAAACGGGAAAAAATGACCAAAAAGACGCTTCCCCTTTCATTCATTCATTCATTCATTCATTCATTCATTCATTCATTCATTCATTCATTCATTCATTCATTCATTCATTCATTCATTCATTTGTCTAATTTTAAGCTACCTTTCTCCCGATGAGGGGATTCAAGAGGCCTTCACTTGTGTCCCCATTGCCTGAGATGGTATGGGACCAAGAGGGGGGCCTCTCTGATGACAGGACTGGGAACACTCACAGGGGGAGATACAGTCCTTCAGGTAGACTGGACCCAACTTGTACAGGGCTTTATAACCAGAACTTTGAATCGGTCCCGGAAACAGACTGGTAGCCAGTGCAGTTGTTGTAGCAGGGGCATTAAATACTCCCTCTAATTGGCTCCGATCAATGGCCTGTCATCTGCCTTTTGAACCAGCTGAAGTTTCTGGACTGTTGTCAAAGGCAGCCCCATGGAGAGCACGTTACAGTAATCCAAGCGGGATGTCCTTAAGGCATATGTGCCACAGTAGCCAAATCAGATCTCTTAAGGAATGCAGCAGGTGCACCCGTTTCAATTGTGCAAACGCACTCTTGGCCACAGCTGGAACTTGGACCTCCCTCAAACTGTCGACCTGGGTTTTCAGGGGGAGGGTAACCCCATCCGGCACAGTTTGCATTCCTGTTCCCTCCTTTGCCTTCCAATTGACCTGGAGCACCTTTGTCTGGTCTGTGTTATGTTTCAGTTTGTTTGACCTCATCTAGTCTGTTACTGACCCTAGGCACTGATTTGGAACCGAGACGGCTTCCTTGAAATTGCATGGAAAGGAGCGATAGAGTTGGGTGTCATCTGCGAATGGGTGACACCGAACCCCAAAACCCCAAACAACCTCTTCCAGCAGTTACATGTAGTTGCGAAATACCATGGGGG